ATTTAGAGTTCCATGCAAAAAAAAAAACGAGTGTTTGAGGTTATCAGAAAGAAAACGCACGAGCATGTAAAAAAATAGCATGGGCCATGCATAAAACGCATGGCCTAATTTTATGGCCATGCGTGGACATCGAGGATTTCAAAAGAAAAAAATATTTTGCACTGGCCATGCTAAAAAAATACATGGGCAGGTCTAAAAACGCATGGCCTAAAATAGACCATGCTTAAAAACGCATGGGCAAGCTTCGAAAAACACATGGTCTGAACCCACCCGTCCATGTCATCGTAACTTTAAAAAAACGCATGGGCAAACACCAAAACTCATGGGCAAACATAAAAAACGCATGATCTGCTTTCTGCTCATGCTTTTTGGCCTGAAAAAATAATAAAATAATAAAAATAAAAATAATTGGGTACTCTCCAAAACCTCCTAAAACCACATTTTTGTATAAAGTTCTTCAATATTAAGCCCAAAAAGGTATGAAAAAAATTGATTCTCTAACTTCATCTTCTTCATCCTCATGGTCGATTTCCCCATTGACGGCTAAAAATCGAACCCATGTTTTTGTTTTGCAAAGTGTGACTTGATTCTTGTGTAGGGTTTCAAGAGGAAGCTTGGGGAGATTTTCTTGAGGTTGAAGATGAAGTGAAAACGTCAAGCACAGATCACAAGTTCAAGCATTTGACTGCTACATTCCTTCCATATCTCAAGTTTGATGCATTAATGTTAAGATTGTTTGACTAGAATTGATGAAAATCTATTAACATGTTCTATATAGTTATACATTCGTGTCTCAGTAGGTTGCCCTACCCTCTCCGAGCATCGAGGACGATGCTAAATCTTAAGCTTGGGGAGGGGTCTTTGTACATTAGGTTCTAGTTTCCACATGCATTTCATCATTCAAAAAAAAATCCAAAAAGATTTCCGGTTTTTAGCATTTTTATCTTTATGCATATAAAAAAAATAAAAAAACGAGATGACGACAATCTTTACATACGATAGCTCCATGAAGTGGGAAAACAAAAAATCAAAATGAAAAAAAAAATACTGAAGCGACCGGATAGTTACCGGAAGTGTAGAATCAGCTGCCATAACTATGGGACCCAAACACCGTAATTCGAGACCCCAGCCTTAGATAATAAAAGAATGGCATACTGAAACGTTTTTGTGGGCGGTAATAACAGCTTTAGGATGATTTGCTTCTGAATGTTTAAAAAGAATATTTACCGACAAATCTGGACCCACAGAACACAGACCTATTTTTTGATACGCATTACCCTCGCGGTAACAGAGAGCTTAAGTATCAGATCCACACAGTCAAGAATGAAGAAAGGGTACAACCGTCGTATCCGGTACCCAAATCAAAATTTCAAGCGCTCAATCAATCGAAGAAATTTTAAGAAATTCAAAAAGTTGATTGAAGAACTCAAGCTCAAAACGAAGATACAAATCCAAGTTCAATCAAACCAGAAGCCATCTCAAAGTCAAATCTGGCGAATGAAGAACTGTGTGATATGATACTTGTGTCTCTTGAAAAAGTGAAAGCATAGGAGCTGGGCCCCTTCCGGTGGGCTCACTGCTTCGGCGAAAGCTGATTTGCCGTGACGGGTTCTTAAGGATGCGTTGATTCTGATTCTTGACTATCTAGTCTTAAGGACATGAGATCCCGGACTATGTTATTTTTGCTCACAAAGCTAATTAAGGTATAAAGTTTAAATAAAACTATCGTTGGATTATTGGGTTACATCGTTTCGTGGTCTTCCTCACTTTGGGAGTCTATGATACATGAAAGGTAGCAGGATGGTCGCCTAGGTATTAGTAATTAGAGCCCCATCGATGTAAAGTCTGATCGTAAAGAAAAACAAAACAAAAAAAAATATATAATAATAACTAATAATAATAATACAATAAAATATTATTTGTGTTTTTGAATTTTTCTTTGGTTCATTTTTCTTTGTTAATCTTTTTTGTACATATGTTATTTTCATTAGTTTTTCTTTTATTGCATGCATTCACTCTTAATTCCCTTTAGGTCCTTTTCGTTCCTTCCATTCTTTTCATATTAGTTTCTTTTAGTCACCTATCGTCTTCTCTAGGGTGATTCTTAATTTTGTTCTTTGTTGAGGAAAAGAAAGGTCTAAGCTTGGGGAGGTTTGATATGTGCATTTTATGCACCTATTTTGCCTGTTTATTTATGTCCTTTCATAGCATTATACTTCATAATTCTTGCATTTAGTTAATTATTTGGGCAATTGCATGTTTCATTAAGAATGTCTGGTATTTCACTATTTTTGATTTATTTTGCAGACAATATGGAGTGTGGAGCTTGGAGCTTGGAAGCATGGAACTTGGAGTATGGAGCTTTGGAGCATGAAGAGAAGATGAACTGCGTCATTCCATGGAGGAAAGCATGAAGACATAACCCGAGTCATTGTTGCATTGTCATCATAGCAAAGGACTACATTTGAAACGCGGTTCTTGTCACACCGACACGGGTCGTTTTTGTCCTTTCACATCGTATATTTGAGCAACATGACTCGTGGTGAAGCTAGATTGAAGATGGAGCTAACACTGAAGACTTATTTGATTTTTAGCAAAAAGCATGGGCCATGCCAAAAACACATGGTCAAGACAAATGGCCATGCCAAAAACACATGGGCAAAAGGCATGGCCATGCCAAAAACGCATGGCCTTATGGCATGCACGTGAACATTAATTAAAATAGGAGAAGACGTCATTTGATGGGGGGAATGGTTTCTGGAGCAACTTTGGGCGATCTTAGGTGATTTTGGGAGATTTCTTGGAGTTTTTGAGAAGACCTAATCATTACAAACACTTTTGATTTCATTTTTGTAAGCATTAAACATTCTAATTCCATCTTTATTCGTGTTTGATTTTTTCTTAACCATGTGTGGCTAAGAAACCCTAGTTTCTAGTTCTTGTTCAAAACATGTTGATTGCTTGACTTGAAGCATATGATTTGATGTTTGATTTGTGATTCTATTCTAGTGATTATGTTTTTGTTTAGACTAGAACCCTTAAATTTGATTTTTGTTTGATTGGCCACTTTCATGAATTGAATTTTTGTGCAGTTAATTAACTTTTAGGGCACCTAATCGTTCTGTAAAGTTAATGATTGGTAACAAACAATAAGTTTTCTTATTGTAAAACATATATCACATGTTTTCACACTTCCGAGCGTATGAGAAGAAATGAACATTGTTGGGAAGCTTGTACAAAACTTAATGCAGTTTTTCAATACAATCTAAGAGCGTGTTTAGGTTGAATTAGTAAAGCTAGGTCTAGTCAAAGAGCGTGTTTTGGTTAGATAATTTGGCAAGCGAGAGGTATTAGAGCCTGTTAATATCTTTCAGTACCAACTTAGAATAGCAATCACAAATTACATCAAGTCATAATCAGGTTAAATGACAATATTGAGAACTAAAACTGGAAGCACTTTTACAATTTGTTTACAAATCTATTTCATTTTCTGCATGTTTCAAAGTTGATTGTTATTTTCATTATTTGACTTCTGCAAACAAATCCCCCTTTGTGACCAAAGTACCTTGCGCAAAGAGGTATAGACTTTTATCCCGTGTCTCTGTGGTTCGACCCTACTTGCCTTGTACTACTTTTTAGTGCATTAAAGCAGTGTATTTGGAGTCTGTTGTACCCCTTTTATTTGTTGGGTTTGACACGCCTAACAATATACGTGCAAAATTTAAGAATACATGTTGGCATACCAACTCAACAATAAATATGGCAATCACCATCCACGTCACATTAGTTTTTCATACCGACAACTGTGTCAACCGAAACACTTGAGATTTGCATACCTGCAAAGCATGTTTAATTCGTTAGAAAAAAACAAACAACAAGGCAGGAACCAGAGAAATGTAATAGAGACTGAAAGTACCATAGATGGAGACCAATAACATGAAGAAGAACAACATCTTCAATGAAGTTTACTCCATGAATTTAAAATACAAAAAATAGAAGTAACTTTTATCTACATCGATAACATTGCTCTAGTCTCATATATATAAAGCTATTTGATAATTATGCTACTAAAAAATGGCTCCCAACATGTCGTAGCCAATTTAAATGCTCATAAATGGTCATAAATATTTTTTTAAGTAAATTTAGCTGAATTATTAATGTTGCAAATATTATGATCGACCGCTATAAACATGTAGTTGACCAATGTGTCAGCTCACTTAAATGGTCTATGATCATAAAACTTATAAATTGGATGGAAAGGGGCCAAAAGAGTCAACTCACAAGTGAAAATTTCCACTAGTTGGAGATTAGGACCAATTATTTCATGATATGAAGATGGGAGGGTAGAGATTGAAAATGAGCTTATAAGAAGCACTATTTCTTCCCATGTTTCAGCCAAACATGATTTAAGTGGGAGAGAGGGATCTCCATGAATTAAAAATATGATTCTAAGCTTTTGAGAAGGATTTAGAGTTAGGGTGTAGAGATTAAGAAGAGGATTGAAACTAGAGGTTGTTACTAGAGCATTTGAGGTATAACTTTATCCCTCCTCACTCTCTAAATCTCAATCTAGGGTTGGTTGAAGGTAATCAAAACTAATGCAAAATACAAAATATTAATTTGACTTTGGTCTAAAGTCTAATTCAAATTATTTGATTGAACAATTTAGTTTTATACATTTAAATGAACTGTAAACATGGTCTCTAAGGACAATTTTATTAGCTGTATATTAGTTGTATATTATTAGCTGTATGTTTCTAGGGTATTTAATATATTACCTAGTCAAAATATTGCTCCAAAATTAGAAGATTGTAATTCCCAATTTTATTGTTATCTCCCTATATATGTACGATTCTGTTGTGGAATGAAATCAGAGGAGAATTCAATTACGTTCATGGTATCAGAGCCATCGCTCTCTACCTAAAATCACTACCTGCAGGTCACGACCTGCACCTCCTGCTATTTTCTTTTCTCTCTTATTTTTTTTCCAACCTGTTCTCATGTCTGAAAAGGCGGAAGCCTCATCCACTGATGTCGCCAAAACCATGCACCCTGTGTATAATGTGGCCAATATTCAACACAAGGTCAGGGTTCTCGATGGCTTGAAGGTCTCTTACTCATCATGGGTTAAGTTATTCCAGCTTCATGCCAAGGGCTATAAAGTCATGGCACATATTGATGGTACGAAACCACCTGCCAAAACTGACCCTGAGTATGAATCATGGTCTGAAATCGATGCAATCGTCTTGCAATGGATTTATGGGACATTATCTGATGACCTGCTGACTCGTGTCCTTGAAACTCAGTCTACGGCTCGTGAAGCTTGGTGTCGTATTCAAACCATATTCCTCAACAATAAAGGTTCAAGGGCTGCAGCCCTTGAACACGAGTTCAATAATCTCACTCTGAAATCCATGCCATCCCTCGAAGCATATTGTCAAAAGCTCAAGGAACTAGGTGACAGACTCAATGATGTGGACTGCCCTGTCAACAATCAACGATTAGTTCTTCAATTAGTTCATGGATTACCTGTTGAGTATGACACAACAGCGGCCTACATTAATCAGACTCTTCCCACGTGGGAGACGGCTGTGAGTATGATGGAACTCGAACACCAAAGGCAAACAGCCCGTGAGACCCTGTCCCCACCCACAGCCATGGCTGTTGTGCATTCTGCGCCATTTACTCAACTCAATCGTCGGCGCCAAGGCAACAGGCACAATGGCAAACGACCCAATTCTCAGCAGAGTAGTTCTTCCTCTGCCCCAAGGCGCAACCCAGTGAATCCACAGCCCAGGTCTCAGCATCAGCAGGTTCAGCAAGCACAGGCACAACCTTGGTTTTCTTCAAATGCTCGTGCTCCCTATTGGGCTTACTGGAGCCCACCTCCCTGTCCTTACCCAACAACTGCAGGTTGGAACTCTCCATGGAATTGTCAATCATCCCAGACTTGGACTCCTTCTGTCCGTAGGCCTGCTTCTCGCACCAATGGCCCAACAGACAATCAGGCTCATTTCACAGCTTATGACCTAATGGAACCTACTCAAATGGGTGAAGCTTTTCAAGCAATGAATCTGGAACAACCCGATGAATAGTGGTCCATGGATTCGGGAGCCACTGATCACCTCACTGGAGACCAAGGTAAAATTTCAAATCCCTCGTTATCTTGTCCAATTGGTTCGATATTTGTAGGAAATGGTGCTCGTGTGCTAGTGCAAGGATCAGGTCACTCATCTTTTCAAACACCCACCCGAGACCTACACCTTAAAAATATTCTTTACACCCCAAATATCATTAAAAACCTTATTTCTGTTAAAAAATTTTCAATTGATAACAAGGTTTCTGTTGAATTTGATCCATATGGGTTTTCTGTGATGGATTACCAGACGAGCCGGATGATATCTCGCCATAATAGCTCCAGTCAACTTTATCCTATCACCTATCCGGTCACGGGTTCCACCTTTCTGTCCGCAAGTGCTCAAGATGTTTGGCATGACCATTTGGGTCATCCTGGGCTCCCTGTTTTGGATTTTCTTAGTTTAAATAAAATCATTCCATGTAATAAACGTTGTCGAACTTTAGTTTGCAATTCATGTCAAATTTCCAAGCATAAACGTCTACCTTTTTCTATTTCTACCTCCTTTACTATATTGCCCTTTGATATAATTCATTGTGACTTGTGGACATCACCCGTAACAAGTAAAACTGGATATAAATACTACATGGTTTTAATTGATGATTATACCCAATACACATGGGTGTTTCCATTAAAGTTCAAATCTGAAACCTTCACAAAATTCTCAACATTTCACAAATACATTAAAACCCAATTCAACTTACCAATCAAAGCCTTCCAATGTGATCTAGGGGGTGAATTCGACAACCATTCTTTCAAAATGTTTGTTGACATGAACGACCTCCACTTCCGGTTTTCTTGCCCCCAAACATCCCAACAAAATGGGAAATCAGAGCGCATGATTCGAAGACTTAATGAAATCATGCTTGTCCTTCTTACACATGCATCTCTTCCACCACATTTCTGGGTCGAGGCTCTACATACGACTTGTTATCTCCATAACATCCTCCCGACTAAGCTCCTCAATTTTCACACTCCCATGTCAGCTCTTTACCTCCACCAACCTGACTATGGCCACCTACGAGTGTTTGGATGTGCATGTTATCCCAACACCACCTCCAATTGAGCACACAAATTAGATCTTCGTGCCAAACTTTGTGTCTTTCTCGGTTATTCGGCCCATTTTCGTGGCTATCAGTGCCTTGATCTCTCCATGGGCAAGATCATTTTATCCCGTCATGTAACATTCGATGAAACCTCTTTTCCTCTCGCAAATAAATCCATATCCACATCCACATAATACTCCTTCCTCGAGTCTACCCCATCTCCCACCTTATTTGATCCTACACCTAACATACCCACCTCATCTATACCGTCTGTCACACCACTCACCCCCTCCATACCACCACCACCACCACCGCCCCCCTCCCCCTCCGCCACTCATCCACACCTACCACCGCCGAAACAAGCACACACCTCCTGGTCCCTCTTCAAACACTCTAAGAAACCCACTTCCTGCCCAACCTATCATCCCCTCGCCTACACCACTTTCCAATAATGCCCCAACCTCTATATCAGCCCCCCACCCCCACCCCCACCCCACCTACCAACAACCATCCCATGACAACCCGCTCCCGGTCTGGTTCACTAAAACCACGGGAACCCATTAATCTCTACACTTCCGCGTCTCACACCATCTCACCCATACCCACTTCTCACCTAAAGGCCCTGTCACACCCCCGAACCAGACGGCGGAAACGTCCGAGGGCTCGTGTGACTCAAATTGAAATATCATCACAATGAATATACATGAAACATAACATAAACATCACCATGCATTAATACATTACAACTGACCTAGTTCACATCAAGTACATTGTCTAAATATTACATATCCATAGCATAATTTGTTCGAGAGTCACAAAACATAACATCCTAACACACTTGGTAATTTCTTCAGCTTATCTGTTACCTGATAATACAAGTTATTTTGAAAACGGTCAACATATATAATGTTTGTGAGTTCATAAGCAGGTTTGATAAGAAAATATTTTGTATTGTCTGAAAAACCCAGAAAATCCGATATTTTCTGAAACGGCAATTGTTTACGAACAGGTGTGATGATCCATAAGTATATGCGTGAATGATTTCAAAACGTGTAAAAGTGATATGTTTCTCATAATAAATTCTTGTGTTATAGTTATTGAAAGTAAAAGTGAATAATGTTGTTCCCCCGGAAAACCCGATGTTTTCCGATATAAATAGCATAATCGTTTTGTATTATTGTATCGTCACAACGAATGAATATGATTCCCCATGATTACTTAGATGGTATCGGATCTCTATGTGAGTCGTTATAACCATGCATAATAATGACTAATTCATCTGTCTTGGCATTCTTGCGAATGCCGGTATTGAATTAAGATTTTGTCACCCTAGACTGGCCGAGTCTAACTGTAGCGAACAGCTTAGGTGTGGGGGAGTCACCCCCGTATAGATCTATACACAAACTCTCGCTCTCCCTCCAGGAGACTTTGATTATAACTACAGACTACGACCGACACTTTTTGGTGTCACCCGTTATTACTCACTAAATCCAAATGAAATTGAATAACATTGTTTTACAACCCGAATTATGTTTACTTGAATATAAGGTAAGCCTAACAGACGAAGAGAAGAGGACTACGGAGGCCCACTAATCACGTATGTTATTATAGGCTGTCGAGTATGCGACGGACACGTTAGCCCATCACACATATGATTGATTTGGACCTTACTAGCAATGCAAATGGGCCACTACGGCCCAATAGCATGTAAAAGTCATTGAGGGTCCATTAGGCATGTAATTGGGTCACCTGATGCCCAATAAACATGTGTAATTATATTGGGCCCAATAATCATGATATTGGGCCACAAAGACCCAATAGCACGAATAGAAGGTATTTGAGCCCAACCATTGAATCGTTTATGTTTTATCGAGTTTAAGTTCGTACTGTTGGTATTTGTTGTATGCTAAATGTTTATTCGCAATGTAAAAAAAATATATCTTAACGTTTGATTTATAACGAAGTTTTCGTTATATATATATATATATATATATATATATATATATATATATATATATATATATATATATATATATATATATATATATAAAGCCATGCGTTATAAACTTGATATTTATAACCCAAACATTTATAATTGTTTATTTGGCCCAAGAACATTTAGATTGACCATTTTGGCCCCTTTTTCTATAAAAATGGCACTTTTAGTCCCTTTTTATGAAAATTGACATTTTTGGTCCTTAAACCATTTTTCTTGACATTTTCCACCCAAACTTTATTTGAATAGTAATTTCAGTCCAAAACTATTTCATTTGTCATTTCCAGCCTTTATTTGTAAAAAGTTTACATTTTTGGCCCAATTTCCGTAAGTTTTACAATTTTGACCCCAAAATCAAGAACTTTGCATTTTTAGTCCAATTTGGTAATAAAATCATTTTCAACCCCTGAAAAAGCTTATTTACGTTCTAGACTCATAGTTTGTTGAGTTTTCCATTTCAGCCCCTCAAAACTTCATTTTTTCGCAACCTTGGGCCCAAAAACTCGTGAGGCCCAATTTAAAGCCCAATAAGCTAAAATTTATGTTTTTGACCCTTTGGAAAGTATTGTTTTCATAAAAATCAGCTTTTATACAAATAAATACCTTATAACCCTCATAAAACCGATAATTATCAGTTTACACCCAATCTTTGTTATTTTTGCAAAAATGACACTTGTAAAGTTCTTTGGATTTGTTTTTCACTTATTAACTTAAGGACCCTTAGATCTATGATGTATGTTGTTTATTATGTTTTTGTTTATGATTCTTTCACCCTTTTTGCTATAGATCTCGAAATATCTCAAGTATTACATATTATCACAACCAAAAACTAAAGAAATCACACATAACATGCAAACACACATAGATCATCACATAATACTTGTAGTCTCCCCCAAAAACAAGTAAAAACCGAAAACAAGGGGGTATGAAGTCACCTTGCTTAGTTGTTTCGGTTTTGAAGAAGATGTGAAGAAGATTTTTGGTCCTAGCAACACCTTGATGTGGATCTCGAGCTTATGGAGCTTCTAAGGTGTGATCATGGAATAAAACTATGTAAGAAGGAGTTCTTGGTGTTAAAATGAAGGAAGATGTTGGTTTTTGATATTAACTTACCAATAATAGTGATTGTGGTGAAAAATCCCCTTGGAAACACTCTAAATCTCGAAATTTTGAGGAAATGAAGAAGGAGTTGTTCTTGAAAACTTGAGAGAGAGTTTGAAGGAAGTTTGAAGGTGTGTGGGTGTGTTTTCCTCTTGCTCTCGGCCGAAGAAGAAAAAGAGAGGGGAGAGGAGAGAAAGAAGTGAAGTGATGGATGCATGGGAATGTGAGATTGTATGGATACATGGTGTGTAATCTCCTAATTATCCCTTAAACAAAAATGAGGTGTCAAGGCATTCTAATCCCCATTATTCTCTTTTTTTTATGTGTGTTGGGCCGAGAGGGAGAAAGGAGAGAAGTGGTTTGGGCCTTTAGTGCTTGAGTCTGATAATATGAAGCCCAAATTGATGATTTTCGGCCCATTGGGCCCTTAGGAGGGTTTACGGCCCAATCTTGCATAAAAGAATGTATTTGTGGCCCATTAAGATTAATTAGATTTGTTATGGCCCAACAATGCCCATTAAGGTAAACCAATTCATTTGGGGTCCATTATGGCCCAAAATGTTAAGTTTCATGAAAGTGGGTCCAATTAGGGCCCATTTAAGGGTCCTAAGCCCAAAATAGTCAAATTGGAAGCTTATTGGTCCATTAGGCCCAATAAGGAAATCCTAGTCCATAATGGACTTAAACCGGGATTTTTAGGGTTTCCAATCTTTTGTTGACCATTTGAAGTGTTTGTATAGAGTGTTTGATGGAATTTTGTTGTCATTGAATAAACATCATGCATACTTTCAAGTTTTAGCCACAAATGTTACCCTTGTTAATGTTTACAAAAACCTTAGAATTCCTAGTTGTGACAGGCCCTATCTGATCCTCACCGGCGTAACGCCATGAACGAAGAATATCAAGCCTTAATGGACAACCACACGTGGGACTTGGTACCTCGGCCTTCCAATGCTAATATTATTCGGTGTCTCTGGCTATTTAGACATAAATTCAATGCCAATGGCACTCTACAAAGGTATAAAGCTCGGTTAGTTGTTAATGGAAAATGTCAACAAGTTGGTATTGATTGTGAAGAGACTTTTAGTCCTGTGGTTAAACCGACCACAGTCAGAACGGTGCTCAGTCTTGCAGTTTCTCGGAGTTGGCCAATACACCAACTCGACGTCAAAATGCATTTCTTCACGGGGACTTGCACGAGACTTTTTACATGTACCAACCCATGGGGTTCACAGATGCCACTTATCCTAATCATGTTTGCAGGTTACACAAATCATTGTATGGCCTTAAACAGGCTCCTCGCGCGTGGTACGATATATTTGCCACCTATATCACTAAGTGTGGCTTCCGGAGCACCGTTAGTGACACTTCTCTCTTTGTCTATAAACAAGGAAATGAAATGGCCTATTTACTATTGTATGTTGACGACATCATCCTCACCGCTTCTTCTGACAAGCTTCTCACCAAGATCATTGCCACACTTTCTCGTGAGTTTGTTATGTCTGATTTGGGGGCTCTTCACCACTTTCTTGGGATCCATGTCAAACGCCAAAATGGCGGGTTGTTCCTGTCTCAGGAAACATGCGCCGCTAACATTCTGTCCCACGCTCACATGGCTGATTGCAAACCAAGTGCCACACCAGTTGATACATCGCCAAAATTGAGCGCATCCAGTGTTGAACTACTAGCTGATGGAACATTATATCGCAAACTTGCGGGTGCCTTACAGTATCTCACTATTACTAGACCTGATCTCACGTATGCGGTACAACAAATATGTTTATCTGTGCATGCCCCGCGGGAACCCCACTTCAAATTCCTAAAACGAGTTCTTCGATATCTTAAGGGCACTATTCAGCTTGGTCTTCATATCTCTCCCTCCAAATCGAGTCAACTTATTGCCTACTCTGATGCCGATTGGGGGGGTGCCTAGATTCCCGACGATCTACTTCGGGTTATTGTGTCTTTCTTGGGGAAAATTTGATATCTTGGTCGTCGAAAAGGCAACATACTATATCACAATCAAGCGTCGAAGCTGAATATCGTGGGGTCGCGAATGCTGTTGCTGAAACGAGTTGGCTACGCAACTTGCTTCTGGAATTATTTGTCCCCACTCGCAAAGCAACCATTGTTTATTGTGACAACATATCCGCAACTTATTTGACTGAAAATCCCGTGCAACACCAACGTACAAAGCATGTGGAACTCGATATCCATTTTGTAAGAGAAAAAGTTCGCATTGGTGACATTAGAGTTCTTCACATCCCAGCAGATTTTCAGTATGCAGACATCTTCACAAAAGGGCTACCGTGTCAACTATTTACTCGTTTTCGATCCATTCTGTGCCTCCGGTCTCCTCCCGCTCAGACTGAGGGGGTGTATTAGCTTATATTAGTTGTATATTATTAGCTGTATGTTTCTAGGGTATTTAATATATTACCTAGTCAAAATATTGCTCCAAAATTAGAAGATTGCAATTCTCGATTTTATTGCTATCTCCCTGTATATGTACGATTCTGTTGTGGAATGAAATCAAAGGAGAATTCAATTACCTACAAATTTGAGTAACTTACTTTAGAGTAAATTATAGTTTTGGTCCTAGTGTTTTACATCTATTGGTAGTTTTAGTCTAAACTTTAAAAATTGATGTGGCTCATCTCCATAGTTTCTAAAAATTACACATGTGGTCCTTAGACTAACTATGTCAACTCTCACTCGTTAAATTCCTATAAAATGACCATTATATCCTCTCTCTTTTCTATGTTTTATTGAAATTATTATAATTTTAGGGAGCATTTTAATAAAATACCGAAAACAAGACCGTTACGCATGTCGTAAGCGCCTAAACAAATAATAAATGGGTATAGAAATACTATTTGGTTGCACTAAGGAGTAGTATAGGAAAGCATGGTCGAATCCGCATGATCAAATCATGACAATATATGCCCTTTTGCGTAAGGCATGTACTAGTCTGACAAAAAAATTAAACGGGTGAATTTTGATGATTAAAACTAATATTGAACATAAATTTATAATAATTAAAAGTTGCAACTAAATAACTTAAGAATTCAGATAATTAAAAGCAATTTCAGTTCCGCAATAACTGTCCTAATTATGTAAATAACCTTTAACTTGATTGTTTGAATTGTGTTCTGTTTAGACTGGTACTGACAATCATTAACAAGCTCTAACAATTATCTTTTACTGAATTGTTTAATCAAAATATTCTCTTTGAATTAAATATTACTTTTTACTAAGTTAACCAAACACGCTCTTAATTAATTTAAAAAAGTAGTATTAAACACGGTGTAAAAATTTTCAATAAAATTCAATACTTCTCATAAACTCGGAAGCGTAAAAACTTGTTCAATCAATTTATATTAGAATTAAATCCTAGCACAGAACCAATATAATATTCATTACTTATTACCGATTAATTAAAACGATTACCTATTCTAATAACCAGTTAACTAGAATGATTAAATACCAATTCAAATGGCCAAAAAAAATTGAATAAAAAATCAAAAATATAATTACACACAAACTGATCAAACTAACGAGAGATCACAACAAAAAAATCAAGCCTAATGATTACTTGCACAAAAATTTGAGTCGGTACGAAACCAGAATCTAGGGTTTTTAGTCGGACATGGATAAAAACGAATTACAAATGATAGAAATAATGTTAAACGATAAGTCTTAGTAAACAAGAGCAACAGGTTGAATCGCGTTCTTCGGATCTTCAAAAACTTGCCAAAAAGTCTTCTGGAACCAAGTTAGGTCATCTGAAAGGTAGACATGCTCTATTTACAGGAGCAAACAACAAAATATAGGAATTCTGTAAATTCCACGATCGTGTTTTCAGTAAACGCATGCCCAAAGCCAGTTAAATGAAGTATGTTGCTATTTTATAGGCTTCAAAATGATAACATGATCTTGTTTTGTGAGAACCACAATTGTGTTTTCTTGTCCACGTTCGTGTCTTATGATCGAGGAGTTTCTTCGAGGATTTTCAAGGCCAAATAAGTTGGTACAAGAAACAATCGTGTTTTGTAAGGTTGATCGTGTTTTTCCCTCCAAACTCCAAAATGCATAAACATGTCCGCAAAAAAAATCTTCAATAGCTTTACATAATCGTGTAAGTGAGAAACACGATCATGTAACTCCCAATTCACATAGTATGGACTTTATTCGTCGATTAAACAGCTATCGATCGTTCCTCAGCATCAATCATCAATTCCAAGGTCCGATTAAGCTCTATTTCTTCCATAAATGCATCATCAAAGCGTCGTATTCTCATCCCGATCTACTTTACCCTGAAAATCATAACAAAAGTGAGTAGTACGGGTAATTATGTAAATATAATGAGAAATACACATTTTATCAAATTACGAGGGAAAAGACTAGCAAATGATAAGATATTGATGATAAAAACTTGCTAAAAGATGCATAGAAAATGCATCTAACAGAGCCCTAAAGGCTTTCAGCCCATCGATGAACCATTTAGACAGTGCTTTTTCCGCCTCCCCCTTTTGGAATTTGCATTGCCCTAGAACCACTACGGATGCTAGAATGTCGTCTCTCACCGACACCTTCTATTACCTTTTGTGTCGATGCTTTAAGCTTTGGTTTCGTTGCACCTGCCACACCGCATGGAACTCTCAATAAAATCAATCACCTATATCTTCCATTATGCTTCTTCTATTGCTTGGAACTCGTCTGCAACTTTGGCGGACACAAACCACAGTAGATGAAATATGGGTGAACTCAATCGACTAACTACACCTCACTCCTCTGGCCTCGTCGTACCTGCCCTTCATCCTTTTTCCTTCTCATCTTGATTTAGAATTAGGGCCAGCTTGGGACCAAATCTTATTTATGTTTGATTTTTTAGTTATGGTTTTGAATTTGGTTTTGATTTGTAAGTTATAAGGTTACAATTTTGTTTTGATTTTAGGTTAGGGATTTAAATTTGGTTTCTTTTGAACGGAAAATCCAATCTATTTCTAAACTATTCCTTAATTCTACCTATGTCCACAACGGAACTTAAACCATCGATTTCAAGGAGGACAACATCTGATACCGTTGGGCTATAAGCCTTTTACTTTTAAATTTGATTATTGATTTTCGCTTAATCTTTAAATGTGGTGGTGGTGATTGGTGGTATAATGGTGATCAAAGGTTGAGTTTTTTAGGTTCATTTTTTGTCGACAAGTTGGTGGTGGTGGGGTGATCCGGTGATGTTGGTATCAATAATGATGGTGATAATTGTTAGTGGAGTGTTGATCCTTTTATTTAATAATTAAAATAACAAATAACAAATAACAAAAACAAGGACACTTTTATCATTTTACATGCATTTAACGGATGAAAATTGACGGAGTTAACCTCAAGCAACACTAATACAACTTTTGAAAACCATAAGGACGGGCTACATTATCTTTTGAAAACCTAGACTCAAATTGTAAATAGATGTAAACTAAAGGTACCAAAACTGTAATTTACTCTATACTCTATATAAAGGCTCTAGGACTTGTCTTCGTCAAAACAATTAAATGATCCGTTGACTTGAGAAAGTTTAAACTTGAAATCAGAGCCGGCAACGGAATCCTCACAGATGGACTCCCACGAGTCATCGCCACCGTCTGTCAGCCGAGACTGGTTCTTCCCCTCTCCCTCCCCCTCCTTCACCCAACCCTCCTCCTCCTCCTCCTCCTCTCATCGTCATCATCTTCACACACCTCCTTCCCGAAGGTTCTCTACCTACCCTAAACCTTCTAATCCCTCTGCTGCCGGCCCGGCCTTGCGTACCACATCATCGTCTTCCGCCGCTTCCTCTCATCGTGATCTCAAGTATGCAGGATTCTCACGCCGTACTAATTTCTCTCGACGGTACCAAAGATCTATCACGCCTGAAGCGGATGCTCCATCAGTTGTACCTCAAATTCCCCAGAAATGTGATGTTTCCAACGACAAAACTTCTACTCCGGATAAGTTCATTGACTTAGTTGGTGGTCGGTTGAAACTCCGGTGGCAGATGGCATTTTTAGTGGCTGTCTGTTCTCTATCTATCTTTCAATTGTCTTGACTTTTGTTTTACATACATAATCGAATTGACTCGAGGTTTTGTCTTGTGTCCGTTTTGTGTGGTGCAGCTTCTGATTACCACCTTTTCTTCTTTGCTGCACAAGAATTTTTCGTTGCATAATCAGTCCAATGATCTTCAGGTAATAATACATCAATTGGATGCTTAATTGTTGCTAGAAAGTACAGTTTAGCTTCTAAGGTCAACCCTAGGACTTCACTGATGCACGATTCATGTCAATTATAAGATTATAACAACTGAATCACAGGAGTATGTCTATGCATACCTCACAAAATACGAATCAATAGAGACTCTTAAAGAGAATTATCCTTCTGATTTTACATTTCATTCCTTTTCTGGTTGTTCTGCTGTCTGTAGGCCCAGATTATGAAGCTCAATGGGAGATTACAACTCTGCAACTTACTAGAACCAATTGATATTGATGATCTAGACCCTCAAGACAGCACTAATCTTCCCAACAAGAGATTGAAAAGCATGGCATTGACTATCTCAGTTACACTTCTTTCTATACCTTTTCTGTTTCTCAAGTATGTGGAGTACATCTCAAAATCAAGATCACCTGACAATCTAAAGGAAGAGGCATCTTTAAACAAGCAGCTAGCTTATAAGGTTGATGTGTTCTTGTCAGTACGCCCTTATTCAAAGCCATTGGCATTGCTGGTTGCAACTCTTCTACTTATTGGTGTTGGTGGATTAGCACTTTTTGGTGTTACTGATGATAGCTTGGCAGATTGCCTTTGGTTATCATGGACATATGTTGCTGATTCTGGAAACCATGCCAACTCTGAGGGACTTGGTCCAAGGTTAGTTTCAGTCTCCATAAGCTTTGGTGGGATGCTTATATTTGCAATGATGCTTGGGCTCGTTACTGATGCAATATCCGAGAAGTTTGACTCTTTGAGAAAAGGAAGAAGTGAAGTTGTTAAGAAAGATCACACACTAATTCTTGGTTGGAGTGATAAATTAGTAAGTATTTTAACAGTTACAAACTTCAAATGTTTTTGAAACTACTAATACTGTTATGGATTCAGGGATCATTATTGAATCAACTTGCTATAGCAAATGAGAGTTTGGGTGGTGGGATTGTTGTAGTAATGGCTGAGAGAGACAAAGAAGAGATGGAATCAGACATTGCCAAGATGGAATTTGACTTTAGAGAAACATCTGTCATATGCAGAAGTGGAAGCCCTCTAATCTTAGCTGACTTAAAGAAGGTACAAAAACTTAGAAATGTTGTTTATGACATACAAACAAAGCAAAAACATAACAATTTGTTTATAAACTTCATAGGTATCTGTGTCCAAAGCACGTGCAATAATCGTTCTTGCTGAAGATGGAAATGCTGATCAGGTTATTTCCATAGTCCATAGACCATAATCCATATGACATGTAAAATGTAAACATAAGTTTCTTGTTTTTATGCATAAAATGATTATTAACAATAACACATATGGTTGTATGCAGAGTGATGCACGAGCTTTAAGAACAGTGTTAAGCCTAACAGGAGTGAAAGAAGGGCTTCAAGGACACATAGTGGTGGAGCTTGGAGATCTTGACAATGAGGTTCTTGTTAAGCTTGTTGGAGGGGATCTTGTTGAAACTGTTGTAGCACATGATGTAATTGGTCGTTTAATGATTCAATGTGCTCGCCAGCCTGGCCTTGCTCAGGTCAAAAAGTCAAAAATTCAAAAACCCATCTTTCTTTTAGTTTCTTTAACATAAATTTACAATCTTTTTTTGAAAAAAAACTGAGTGATTGTATATTTGTATATATAGGTGTGGGAAGATATTCTTGGATTTGAAAACTGTGAGTTTTATATAAAAAGATGGCCTGAATTAGATGGGATGCTGTTTGAAGATGTGTTGATTAGCTTTCCAAATGCTATTCCATGTGGAATAAAGTCAGTTTCATGTGGAGGAAAGATTATACTTAATCCTGATGAATCTTATGTTCTTCAAGAAGGTGATGAAGTTCTTGTTATAGCAGAAGATGATGATACATATGCTCCAGTAGCATTACCCAATGTAATTCTCTTTTTCTTTTTTCTTTCGAAAATAGTTTTATAAAGATATAAAAGTATGTGCACATAAACAAGGGGCGAATGGTGGCAAAAGGTGGAAAACTGGAAATGAAGTTTTATGAGTATAATAAATTTGGTCATCAGGTGAAAGAAGCACCATTCATACACATAACTCGACCAACAAGAAAGCCTCAGAAGATTCTTCTTTGTGGATGGAGGAGAGACATTGATGATATGATTGTGGTGAGTTCTATAAATCAAAAACCCTAATTTTATCTTTCTTGCATTCAAATGTTGCAGGTGTGGAGAGGAAATCTACCTAAAGAATTCATTGTTCCAAATTCCATGGAAAAGATACTTCTGTGTGGGTGGAGAAGAGATATTGAAGATATGATTATGGTAAAGTACTAAAGTCAACAACAAGGAATCTTCAGGGGCAGAATCGGAATCCGCACAACACTATTTCAAATAATTCATGTGCTACATTTTCATTTATGTTTTTTTTTCTTTGAAATTTTAATAGGTACTGGATGCTTTTTTAGCACCAGGTTCAGAGTTATGGATGTTTAATGAAGTTATTGAAGGTGTGAGGGAACAAAAGCTTATTGATGGAGGTTTAGACATTGAAAGATTGATGAATATAACACTTGTTCATCGTGAAGGGAATGCGGTCATACGTCGCAACCTGGAAAGCCTTCCTTTAGAATCTTTTGACTCAGTGAGTTGACTCAACTTAACTTAAGTCGCATTTTGGTTTTCCGATTCCGATTGACTTGGAATTCAAGATTCCCTTCTATGGTTATTATAGCATCATGAACTCTTATGTTGATCATGATTCATGGTTATTATAGATCTTGATTCCATTCTATGGTTATTATAGAATCTTGTTTTTCCGATTCCGATGGAATTGGAATTCAAGATTCCATTCTGTGGTTATTATAGAATCTTGAACTCTGATGTTGATCATGATTCATGGTTATTATAGATCTTGATTCTGGCTGATGAATCAGTAGAAGATTCAGCAATACAGGCTGATTCAAGGTCTCTTGCTACACTGCTATTAATACGTGATATCCAGGTACTTTTTAGGTATTTGACACAACATTGTGAAATAATTATAATTTTGTAAATTACATTTTTGGTCCCCGAATATAGTTCGTTTTTGCAATTTTGGTCCCGGTAAGTTTACTCTTGAGGTTTTTGTAACGTTTTTTGTCCCTGTTCCAAGTAAAATGACTGATTTTAGTCCCTGAGAATAGCTGATTTTTTTCACTTTTTGTCCCAAAGGTATAGTCATATTACTAACCAGGACGAAAAACGTTACAAAAACCTCAAATAAGGATCAAAATTGCAAGAGAAAACTTTTTGGGACCAATATGAAAAAATCAACTATGCTCAAGGACCAAAAATGTAAATCTCTTAAAATTATGTCATTGAAGTAGACAATAAGTCGTTTTAGTAGTTGTTTTTTTTTATATAATAAACAGACTTAAAATAGTGCAAAAACTAAAATACTAAATATAATATTTTTAATGTTATTGATACTATTTGTAGGCGAAGCGTCTACCCTATAGAGAAGCCAAGGCTTCTTCTCATGGTAGAAAAGGTAGTTTTTCACAAGGTTCATGGATAGGGGAAATGCAACAAGCTTCAGATAAATCGGTTATAATTAGTGAAATTCTTGATCCAAGGACTAAAAATTTATTATCAATGTCAAGGATTAGTGATTATGTTCTATCAAATGAGCTTGTTAGTATGGCATTAGCAATGGTTGCTGAAGATCGCCAAATAAATGATGTCCTTGAAGAGCTTTTTGCTGAAGAGGTAATCCTCATGAATTGCACTTTTTCCAATTTAGGAGTTGTTTGATATGCCTGTTACTAGTCTGATAAAAAGGTTGGGATTTGAGTCACAGATTGTTTCGTACCACACTTAGGGCCCATTTGATAGTTGTTGTCTGGGAAAATTTACTAACCGGGAAAGAAACCATGTTGTTTATGTTGTTTAATTGTACATCTGACTGACTGTGCTAAGTGATGAAAAATGACCATTCAGCCAGAAAGATGTGGTTTTAGGGCTTTCTGGGAAAGACATATCTTACCAGGAAAGACCTCTTTTTTGTGCAAATCAAACAGTTTTTCCAGCCCATTTAGCCAGAAAGATCTGTCTAGACCTAAAAAGATGTCTATCAAACAGGCCTTAGAAGCCTTTGATATTCGATCTTGAATGTCTCTTACTCAGTCCGACTTAATCAACAATTATCATACATTTTTGGGTTAAATGCATTTATTCTTATTACAATGTTGTAATTTGAAAAGTCCATTTTGTAAGTGATTATCTCTAACTTGTGTGTTTTTGTGGGGGAAGTAGGGGAATGAGATGCACATAAGGCAAGCGGATCTATACATTAAGGAAGGAGAAGAATTGAGTTTTTATGAAATACTTTTGCGTGCGAGACAAAGGAGAGAAATAGTGATCGGGTATCGTTTAGGGAATGTAGAGAAAGCTGTGATTAATCCTCCGGGAAAAATGGAGAAGAGGAGGTGGTCTCTGAAAGATGTTTTTGTTGTAATAGCGGAAAAAGAATGACATAATTTGTTAATGTACATATTCATATACATAGAAGAAATATATATATAAAAATTACACTTTTTTGATAAGAATTCTTTTTGATTTGTGATTTGACATTTTTTAATGACGTTTGGCTCTTGTATACTCTTTATTCATTTAATTGGTCAACATTAACATACAACAAATAAAGTTCGCTTAATTTCCTCTATAGTTCCATTAGTGTTTGCTATTTATAAGCAACTTTATTTAAAAATTAATTATTACTTTAATATATTAGTTATTAATTTTGTTTATAAAAAAGAAGCATAGAAGTATTTTGTTGCGGTAAAAAATTTGACATAAAAAATTTGGAGATCATTTATATTATAGAAATATATTTTTTTAAACAATCTTTATTATATGAAATTTATGTTGCAAGTGTATAAAGAATAGGGACTTCTACAAACCAAAAGTTGAATTTTAGTTTGGATAATAAATGTTTTATCTTATAAAATAATATAGTTTTAATTAGAAATTAATATAAAAACATGTTTTTAAAAAAATTGGGCATTTTACAAAACTTTGCCCTTGAATTTCTGATTCATTAAATACAAAACTAAAAACAGAAAGTGTACCCCCTCACGGAAGTTGTTTACATTCGATGCAAAAGGGAGCGCGCGAGAGTTATCTTTCGTTATTCTCGTTTGGATCTTTTCTTTTCTTCTCGATTTCTGTCTGGATTCACCTTTTTCATCATAAATTTTCTCAAGCAAATTTCCGGTTAGTTTTCTTTTCTCTCTAATCTATTATCCAATCTCTTTTTTCTTCTTTTCCAATTTCAGACTTAACCGTTGTTTTGTTTCATCGACACATGGCAATTTCTGCATCATGGGTTTTCATGAAATCAGGTTTTATTTACTTGCGAATTTGTGTTTATCTATATTTCAGATCCATTTCATTAGCTTGTTTGCAAGTGTTATTACCGCTGTGATCGCGTTTAGATTAAGTGCACTTGAATTTGCGGATTTTGAGATAATTTGTATTGGGTTTCCTTTTCTGGATTCAAGCTAGTTTGAATTAAAGTTTCTTCTAGTTTAATTCACTGATTTAGATGCTAAGAGTGAACTTAATTTCCAAAATTGGTCGAATAATTATTGCCTAATTAATTACTTACACCTATTTTCACATTTCCAATTCCTCTAGATTATCTGTATTCAGTTGCTTTCTAAACGATGCTAGATTCATAAATTCACTTACTTACCTTATCACGAATATAAACAAAGCCTTAATGATCACATACCTATTATGATTTTTGCTAATAAACCTCCTGCAAATCGGGAAATATCTGTGCTTTCAATCTCTCTATCCAATTTGAGGAAATGCAATTACATTATGATCTATATACATCTGCCCCTTTTGATGAGTAGCTTTTCACTTATCTTCTCCTCTTACATAAAGTGATGCTTTTAGTTTTAACCAACTAACCTCTGTATTTAATCTTCTTTCAGACTATAGGCTCAACCTTAATGTTGTCATAAACACCTAAAGCGGATTCATTATGAGATAATGGAATCACCTAAAGCTGGTGGATCAAGGAATACATCTGTGGTTATTCTTACACTTGATACAAGTGAGGTATATATCATTGTTAGTTTATCTACTAGAAGCGACACACAGGTCATTTACATTGATCCAACAACCGGATCTCTTCACCATGATCAAAAGCTAGGTTATGATGTTTTCAACTCCCAAGAAGAAGCACTAAACTACATCACAAATGGTTCAAAATTCATTTGCAAAAGTACAATTCATGCAAAAGCTATATTGGGATATGCAGTTCTTGGAAACTCAGCCTTATTGCTTGTTGCCACAAAGTTAACAGCTAGCATTCCATTTCTACCAGGTGGTGGTTGTGTATACACCATTAGTGAAAGCAAATGGATCAAAATCTTTCTTCAAAATCCTCAACCACAAGGGAAAGGAGAAGTCAAAAACATTCAAGAACTCACTGAACTTGAAATTGATGGAAAACATTACTTTTGTGAAACAAGAGACATCACAAGGCCATTTCCTAGTCGAGTTTCTGTAAAAACACCTGATGATGAATTTGTTTGGAATGGATGGTTTTCAACTGCTTTCAAAAGAATTGGGTTGGATCAACACTGTGTCATTTTGCTTCAGGTATTTGATGCTTTGTGACTTGAAAAGTTGAAATTACATTAATGCCCTTATCATCTCATTTGGTTTTTCTTCCTATACTTATAGGGATTTGTGGAATATCGAACTTTTGGAAGCTTAGGTCAGCAAGATGGAATTGTTGCTCTTATAGCTAGGCGTAGTAGGCTGCATCCTGGCACTCGATACTTAGCAAGAGGCTTAAATTCTTGTTATAGCACAGGTAGATTGTCAAAAATAGCAACCTACTTTACTCTTTTTTACCAATATATACAATGCACTTTATTTTTTACTCATAATAGCAACATACTTACATTTATTTACTGATAAAGAGCATCCATAATAGGAGCTTTTTCAATGATTCGGTGGGCCCCATAGGTTTTCAACCAATTGTAGACAGACAACTTATACAAGGGTCCCACAAAAAAGCAAATTGAAAAAGCTTTCTTATTGTAGAGATAAAATAAACTTTTTCATGAAAAAGCTCCCTTATTGTTGATGCTCTAATAGCAACATATAACAAATAAATTACATTGCCTATATTTGCAAAAAGGGTAAAGTATGTTGCTATTCTCAACAATTTTTTCTTTGTGCTTTTAAGGCTGTGTTTGGCGCACCACAGTTAGCTGATAAGCTATCTTGTTTTTCGAGCTTGTATAAATTGTCATGTTTGGCAAGTCAAAAAGTAGCTGATAAGCTAGTTTTTTTTAAAAAAGCTACTTTAAAGCTGTATTTGGCGCGCCACAACTAACTTATTTTTCAAGTTTTTTTAGGTTGTTATGTTTGTCAAGCCAAAAAGTAGCTTATAAGCTAGCTTTTTAAAAAGCTACTTAGACTAGCTTTTCAGGAGTTTTTTTAAAATTTTCCAAATATACCCCTTGATTAGTTATAGAAATCATATTCTTTTTAATACCCTTTTACGTCATTTTATATCTTTCAGCTAGCTTATCATCTACTTTTTACCAAACGTCAAATTTTATCAGCTAGCTTTTCAGCTATCAACTAGCTTTTCATATAACAGCTAGCTTTTCAGCTGGTACGCCAAACATAGCCCAAGTAGCTTTTTGAAAATTTTCCGAATGTACCCTTAATTAGTTATAAATCTTTCAGCTAACTTATCGGCTAGTTTTTACCAAACGTTATTTTTTGTCAGCTAGCAGCTAGCTTTTCAGCTATCAGCTACCAGCTACTTTACCAAACATAGCCTGATTAACATCTTTATGAAATAGGAAATGAAATTGAGTGTGAACAACTTGTATGGGTACCAAAAAGAGATGGACAAAATGTGCCTTTCAACACATACATATGGAGAAGAGGCACTATTCCCATATGGTGGGGTGCAGAGCTAAAGATGACATCAGCAGAAGCAGTAATTTACATTTCTGACCGTGACCCTTACAAAGGAAGCGCGCGATATTACCAAAGATTAACCAAAAGATACGATTCAAGAAACAAGGGTATAAATGGAAACCAAAATAAAACAAGTTTCGTCCCCATTGTATGCATCAACCTTCTTAGAAACGGAGAAGGAAAATCCGAATCCATTTTAGTCCAACATTTCGAAGAATCCTTAAATCACATCCGGTCAAACGGTCAACTCCCTAACACAAGACTTCACTTAATAAACTACGATTGGCATACAAGTATCCGATTCAAAGGTGAACAACAAACAATTGAAGGACTTTGGTATCATTTAAAATCTCCCACAATCTCCATTGGGATCACAGAAGGTCATTATTTACATTCTCGTGAAAATATCCAAGAAGCTGGTGATGTCATCGTTTACAATGATGACATCATCGGTTGCTTTCGCTTACACGTGCATCAAAACGGTGTGATTCGTTACAACTGTGCGGATTCTTTGGATAGAACAAATGCTGCTAGCTATTTTGGTGGGCTACAGGTGTTCACTGAACAATGTAGGCGACTTGGGATTTTTCTTGATGCTGACGTGGCGTTGAAGCCAAGTGGATCGCCAGCGAGGACAGATAAATCGTGGAAGAGATTTGATATGACATTTGAGGAGTTTAAAAGGTCGACTATTTTGTCACCTGTTTGTCAGTTAGCTGAGCTTTTTTTAATTTCGGGGGATATTCATGCAACTATTTATACGGGTTCTAAAGCAATGCATAGTCATATTTTGAGTATTTTTAGTGAAGAAGCAGCTAAAAATAAACAGTTTTCAGTTGCACAAAATGTGAAGATAACACTTCAAAGAAGATATAATAATGCAGTTGTGGATAGCTATCGACAGAAACAGTTAGAGATGTTTCTTGGATTAAGGCTTTTTAAGCATCTTCCTTCAATATCAATTCAACCTTTGCATGTATGTAACTTTTTCAAAAATGATCCAAAGTTGAAACCTTTTTCAGTTTTGGTCCTTGTGTAAAGGTTTTAATTTTATATGGATTTTGGTTCTTAGAAGGTTGAAATAAGAACCAAAATGGATATGAAACTTTGAAATAAGGACCAATTTTGAAAAATGTTTTTGTGATTATCGATTATTTTATATTTATGAAAACATCTAATATGACATTATATATATTTTGTTTTCTTATTAGGTGCTAAGTAGACGATCTGGTTGTCTTCTAAAACCGATTGCTAGCATTGACTCAAGTTCTGATGATGGAGACAGTCTTCTTAGTTTTAAACATAAAAATCTCATCTGGGTAACTATAGTTTATTTTATTTAAGGAATTATAAACACGGGTGTTAAATATTAGCCATTTATCCCAAAAAAAAAGAGCCCACTTTAAAAAAAAATTCCTAAAATCATGAAAGTAGTTTATGGTAGTTTATAAGCTAGCTTGAGATAGCTTATTGATAAGCTAGCTTATAAGCTAAAAGCTAGCTTTTCAGCTAATTCATCATCCAATATATAATTTGGATTGATTTTTGTACAGATTTCCCAACAGGCGGCGGATATAATTCAACTTTTTATCTACCTTGGCGAGCCTTGTCATGTTTGTCAACTTCTTCTCACAATTTCACATGGTGCAGACGATTCAACATATCCATCAACAGTCGATGTCAGAACAGGACGCGATCTTGATGAGCTTACACTTGTTTTAGAGGTTTCACTTTACAAGTTTTTTTAAAAAATCAAGAAATAGCAACCTACTTTCATTAATTTGATACATTAGGGCTAATTAAGTAATTAACATGGGTCTTTCTTTGCTTACAATATAGGGAGCTTCCATTGCTAGATGTGTTAATGGTACAAACATGGTGATACCAATACCGGGGCCCATTAGTGACGATGACATGGCGTTCACAAGAAGTGTAACGACCCCACCTACCCACAAACCTAAGTTACCGTTTTTATATGATTTCGAAGGTCGCGAGGGCAATTTGGACTTTCTCACTCGGGTGGTTGTTCTCACATTCTACCCATCTGAGTCTACCACTTCCCCTGTCACTATCGGTGAGGTACATTATGTTTTTCACTTTCTTGTATTTTACATTTTTACCCTTCGTATGTATGTGTGTGTGTTTTTCTATATCTTTTCCATGTGTTTGTAGGTGGAGATACTTGGGATTTCTCTTCCATGGAGAGACATAGTTGCGTCTGAAAAGCTATGGGAACGTTTGAATAGTATCAAAGAGAACAATCCGTGTGTTATTGCTTTGACAAATGACATAGCGCCACCTGGCAAATCTGATACAATGGATCTCTTGTCAGGTGATGACATCGTTTCAGAATCTGTTTCACAGCCAATGACAGAAATCAGTTTGCTTGATCATGGTTACATTGAAGACAATAAAACAAATTCAATACAACAAGATAAAATACAAACCAAAGGGGACGTAGCAGCGCTTCAGTACATAACTTGCTTCAAAATGTTGTCAGCTTTACATGGGGTATGAATTATGATATGGACATTACTATTTTCTTTAGATTATTCAAGAAGAAGAAAAAAAAGTGACTATGGAGTTTTGCAGGGTAACAAATTAGGGTTTAAAGAAGGGATGAAACTTGAAATCGAACGTCTTAGGCTCAATCTATCTGGTGTTGAACGCGATAAAGCTTTATCATCAATTGGAATCGATCCAGAAAGTATAAATCCGAACGTGTTAATAGAAGAATCTTATATTTCTTCATTATGTAAAGCCGCAAATGCGGTTGCATTTCTAGGTCAAGCTTCTTTAGAAGACAGAATTATTGGTGCGATTGGTCTTGATATTATCGAAGATGAAAAAATCGATGTGGATTTTTGGAATATTAACAGAATCGGGGAGAGTTGTTGCAGTGAATCGTGTCAAGTTCATATGGGGACTTCGACTTTGAATTCTTCTTCTTCACAGTCGATTTATTTATGCTCTGCGTGTAATCGGAAGGTTTGTAAAGTTTGTTGCGCGGGAAAAGGTGCTGTTCTTGTTCTTCAGAATCGTGGTGTTAATGAACGGTGTTTATTGATGGATGGGGTTATTTGTAAGCTGTGTTGTGATGATAGTGTTCTTGATGCGTTGACTTTGGATTATCTTAGGGTTTTGATTAGCGAGAGAAGAAGTAGGGATGCTGAAACGGCGACGTATAAAGCTTTGGGTGAAATTGTAGGGAGGAATTATATCGCCGGAAAAAGGGAGTCGTCGACTGATAAAAATGGAGATGTCAAGGCGGCGCTTCAACAATTACTCAATGGAGAAGAATCGTTGGCTGAATTCCCATTCGGAAGCTTTCTGCACTCGGTATTATCTATAGATCATTTTATCTTCCCTTTTACATGTTAAAATATCATTAATAACTAGTTTTAGATCTGAATTGTTCATTATTTCTGTTGTTCTTATAGATTGAATCAGCGTCAGGCTCAGCACCACCATTGTCGTTGCTTGCACCTTTGAATACCGGATTAAAACAGTCGTACTGGAGAGCACCTCCGACCACCTCTTCTACTGAGCTTATTATCGTTCTCGGCAATCTCTCTGATGTCTCCGGCGTTATCCTTGTCGTTAGTCCCTGTGGCTATTCCATGTCCGATTCCCCCATCGTAAGTAAACCACGTCACACAGTGGAATCCCCAATTCCAGTTCCAATTCCGTTATACCAAACTCATTCATAATTTCATATTCTGTTATTGTTTAGGTGCAAATTTGGGCAAGCAACAAAATACACAAGGAAGAAAGATCGTGTGTCGGAAAATGGGATGTGAAATCAATGCTCACATCTTCGCCGGAGCTTTGTGGCCCAGAAGAATCCAATATTCAAACGCCTCGCCACATCAAATTCGACTTCCGAAATCCTGTGCGATGTCGTATGATTTGGATAAAATTGAGTATCCAGAAAGTTGGATCGAGTTCCGTGAGTTTCGAGAACGATTTCAATCTTTTATCCTTTGATGAAAGTCCGGCCTCCGATCCCGGCGGCAGACGCGCCTCCATAGCAGGAACATCGGAAACTATTCCGTCTCTGCACGCCAAAAGAATTCTCGTAGTTGGATTTCCGGTGAAAGCGGATATAAGGCGGTCGTCGTCGCAGAGATCTGAGCATGCTAGTAGCATCAAAAATTGGCTGGAGAAACCGCCATTGTTAAACAGATACAAGGTACGATTTTCCGATTAAACTTTTTTCCGATTACATAAACATCATCGCAGGATTTGAATTTATCTTTTTGTTGCAGGTTCCGATTGAATCCGAGAAGTTGATCGAGAACGATCTGGTTTTGGAACAAAACATGTCTCCATCTTCACCGGTGGCAGCAGGCTTCCGGCTCGATGGTTTTAGCGCTATAAAACCTCGATTAAAACATTCACCTTCAACATTGGAAGCAGTACCTACAGTTTTCGAACATCGATTCATATCTCCACCGGTATTAAGTATTCAAGTATCGACATTAAAGGTACTCCGAGCACCAAAAATGTCTTGTATTTTAGATTACGGTGGTGGTGGCGCTGGATATAATCAATTGTTATGATGTATACTTTCAGGGGTTGTCGGAGGAGACGGTGGTGGTTGCAGAGTACCGGATACCGGAGGTGAAGAGTGGAACGGCGATGTACTTTGATTTTCCTAAAGCGATGAACAGTCGAAGAGTACGATTCAGGCTGGTCGGAGATGTTGCTGGGTTTGCCGATGATCCGGAAGACGGCGGCGATACAGGGCGGCCGTTGGCGGCGGGGTTGTCTTTGTTAAACCGGATTAAGTTATACTACTATGCCCACCCTGCTGATCTTGGCAGATGGGCTGGCCTTTCTGGTATATGAGTGAATTTTTTATTATTTAAAAAGAATTATTTTGTAATTTTTTTTTCTAGTTCAGAATAATCGATTTCATTTTATTTCAGGGGTGTTTCGAGTTTATGAGAGATTGTAGTTTAGATTCTTTTAGGGTAAAAAAATAAGTTTTGACAAACGTGTAAAAATTTGTTACAATAAAACTAACATCGAGTATAAATTATTTGATTATTAATTTGTTGTGAATAAAAAATATGGTTCAACAAGTTTAAGAATTATTTCCTCCTTCTTAAGGTATTCAACATGCATGTCATGCATAAGGTATAAAATTCCATATGGCCCCCGACCACATATCTCTACCTTTATCATGGGAAGACCATGATTGTGCTTGAGATTTCATTTTAAGTTCTTTTATTCATTTAATTTATAAATGTGGGAAAAATAGATTTAAAAAAAAAATGTTTCGATTAGTTTTTGGTGACAAAAGTTAATAAGTTAAAAATTGTATGATTAACTTATTGATTTTTGCTTGTTTTTTATTCTAATAAGTCATAAATCATTTCAGTAAGTCATAAATTATAACTTCTTCAAAATTCTTTTTCAAAGGCTAAACCAAAAGTTGTTTTAAAAGTCTTTATTAGATATCCAAACATTTTTTTTTAATTTATTGACTTTTCAAGAAGTCAATAAGTTAAAAATAAGTTTTTAGATGAAATCTCAAACATCCCCTAAGAGTCCCCCTAATAAATAGACATGCATGTGTCGATTCGTGATGATATCATAAAGTTTAATGTGGCCATAGACCAACAACGATCGTTGGTGACCCATTAACCACCCTGGATGCGATAGTTATAGGCACTGATGAAATGGTTCAAGGAGAAAAATAATAATAATAATAAGTGTTTAGAAGGTAAGGAAGAACTAGCAACCCACAAGCCATACCTAAACCATCTAGTTAGAATAAGATATTTCTACACACAACTCCAAAAAGGAGTTAAGCAAAACACTATGAAAAAATCATGACATATTCACATGAAAACTAATAGACATGGATGTTGTCTCAAACAATATCACGTAATACAAGCATAACATTAATCCGACTTGTCATCTGGTGAAACAAAATAAGAGAACACATGATAGAGATCAGAATGTTGCTCAACAAGCTAACAAAGTTTGACATCGTACAAGAATTGACCCTTCCTACATGAATCGCCAACCCAATATTCATAATAAAAAAATGCATGACAGACATGTATCTACTAGGTAGACCTAAATAAAACATGTTCAAAAGACTACTATCAAATACTCGAAATAAGCTAGAAGGTTGATGTGACCTTATAACATGGTGAGAAGACGTTCTATACCAAACAAGGTATATTTCCTACCAAAATACGATGTCTATGACGAAGAATGACAAAATAATATACTAGTAACTGTAAATGCTTAATAGGTTAATAGAATATTTGATGAGAAAATAGACAGGACATATAAGTCTACATCAACGATAAGGTTATCAAAGGAAAAATGTACATTGCCCTAATCACCAACATTGAGTAGACATTCAACCGACTACACAAATCGAATATGAAACTCAACACGACCAGAGTTATTTCGGTGTCAAAAGCAAAAAGCTCTTAGCATAAAAGAAAACCAATGATGGGTCCCATGAAAACCTAAAAATATGGACGTAGTAACACAAATTAAAGTAGCAAGAGCAATCAAGGACATGTAGGTACTAGACTATAAGCTGGAAACACTTAGTCAATCTTATCTAAATTGGCGAAAAAATCACTATCATTTAAAAAAAAGGTGAAACGGAACAAAAACAAGAATAAAGAACTGTTCGAATGGGATTCTATTATTGAATTTAAGGTGCCTCAAAAATGGCTTAGAAATCTCTTTATACATAAGGAGCTAAATTTAACAAGTATTGTAAAATTTTCTGAAAATAAAAATTGACATGAAATTCCCCTAATTAAGCTACTAAAATAGGACATGAAAAGCAAAAATTAAGATGCAACGCCCGTGTTTCTGGGCTATGCATTAATGACGATATAATAGTCTAGGTCAACCATTGGAACTCGTTTTGAAGTAATAAGAATGAATAGTCTTAATAAAATTTGTAGTATATGTTATAAGGATTCCGAATATATAAAGAATGCCGAAATCCGAGTTATAACGAAGAAGTTATGACCTATCGAAGTTTCGCGACAGAACCAGCACGACACAGCTCGACGTAAATAGTGAATTTACGATAAAGCAATATTTGGCTTTATCGATCTAAAAGAAAGTCGTAGAATACATTAAACCGAGAGCGTGCATAAAGAGAACGCCCAAATCTGACTTCGTATGAGGAAGTTATGATTTTTCTAAGTTTCAACTTAGCGGTATGCAGCCCAAATCTCGAAATTGAGATCGAGGGATCTTTGGCCGAAACAATCTAAACGAGAATCGAATGTCTCGTCGATAGTAGTTCAACGGTAAAAAGACAGACGAAAACGGACGTCAGATGAAGAAGTTATGAATTTTAACGGAGTTTTCCTGTCCCGGCCTACTAAAAATACTATAATAAAAATAAAGTCAAAATTAGCCGACGGAGTCTAAACGAAAGTTGTAGAGCATAATCTCACCTACGCGTGGATATAAAGAACATCCAAAACGAAGCTCGTATGCGAGAGATATAAATTTTTTGAAGTTCGGGGCACGAACTTCCACCAGTGTCAGAGTTCACGACGTGAATAGGGTGTTCACGACGTGAACAGGTAATTGACACCTTCCAGAGCAAGTGGACTGACGACGAACGCCATGACCTGAGCAGGACCAAACTCACGACGTGAACATTTGAGGTTCACGACGTGAATCCAGAAATTTGGCCCTATAAATAGAAACCAAAGGTCAGCCGAATATGGTTGCTAATTCATCACTCCCTCACTCTCTATACCCTCTCTAAGCCATCTTGAAGCACCCCCGAAGTCCCGATATCATCCTAATACCCGAAGCAAGTCCCGAAGCCCCGAAGATCCCGAGAAAAAGAGTTTTCGAGCCGAAACTCTGCCCGCGAGAAGCCCGGTTTCTGAGAAAACATCCCGGCTTCATCGAAGAATATTACTTTATAGAGTCGTAGTGCTGTCCGATCATCGTCTTATCAAGTGAGTGCATAGTCCCTTTCATGAACATGATTTTAATACAAGTATTGTTTGAATGTATTAAATACTATATGTTTTGTGTGAGTTATTTGATGATGTCTGAATTAAGTGTTAAAGAACATACGTGATTGTTTATGATAACTTAGGTTAAAGAGTAAACCTAAGGTTTGTATAATGGTTATGGGGTAGTATCTCTTTATGAGTACGAGTGAGATATATACGGAGAATAGAACTTTAAAATATGTCATTGATCCGGAAGCATGGATTAGACATAGTTATTCGTCCCTAGTCCTAGAGTATGGATTGGACTTAGTTAATTATCATTAATCTGGGAGTATGGATTAAGACTTAGTCAGTTGTCATTAATCCGAGAGTATGGATTAAGACATAGTCAGTTGTCCTTAGTCCGGAAGTATGGACAGGACATAGAATTTGTCATTAATCCGGGAGTATGGATTTAGACATAGACCAATTGTCCCTTATCCGGGAGTATGGAATGGGCACTGATGTGACCTGAACTACAACCGGATTTGCGCCGGTGAATCAGGTTCCTCGTTGCCTCTGCAAGATCACAAGAAAGAGAGGCCGTCAGCCGTTTCCCGGGAGGGTGCTCCCGGAAGAACGCTCCGACGGTCAAGTTAGAAGGTATCTAGGGTTTTTTGTGTCTTCTTTTAGAGAGAAGAGCTTACCTTGTGAGTCCGAGGGTGCATCCTTTTATACCTAGCGTTCTTGCCCAGTCCGTACTGGACAAGATCGCTTTTTGGGGAGACAAGATCAGAGGCGCTGATTGGAGGGTCGTGCGTCCTCAACCGTTAGAGCGCTCTTATTGGCTATGACGGTAATGGCCTGATCCCACTGTTTGTCTCCTGATCGTCTCTTTTGTCTTGGAGCTGGGAGCGTTCTTTGGCGGGCGCGAGCCCCTCGCCTGGGCATTCTGTCCCCAGACGCACTGGCAGGCGCTGAGCCCGCTGGGCTTAGCCCGACTGGAATACTCGGCGCTTCGGTTAGGCGCGATTATGTCGTGCCGTCTAAGGCATGTCATCAAGTCCCCCAGTCTGGTAGCCGTAGCGTTGCAGCGCTAGTTACGGCGTTCCGGGCTTAATTAGCTTACACGTGTTGGTTTTTCTTTACTCGCCGTTCCGCCCTTAATGGCGACGTGACTACGCATGATGGCTGGCAGTTACGTCATCGTGTCAGACATTTAAAATGCCCCGCCCTTTCCGTTTCTTCATAAAAATGCTTATAGGGTTTCTTTTTGCCTTCACTCTTCCTTCATCCTTCTTCGTCTTCCTTTCTCTGTGTTTTTCTCCTTTATCCTCCTCTATGGCGAGTCTTCCTGGCATCCTTCCCTCCGCCGCTGAATACCGCCAGCTTGAAATTTCATATGGTTTATCTTCTGTGGAGGGTGTGGAATTTCCTTCTCCGGGTTCTAGCATCTCATCCCCCCTTCTGGCAAAATCGGGGTTTATTTGAAAACCCTAGACGCTGGCATCCATTTCCCGTTGACGGACTTTCAGGAAGAAGTTCTCCAGAAGGATGGTTGCAGCTTGCAGATGCTGACCCTAAATGTTGTTAACAAAGTGGTAGCATTCGAGATGATCTGCAGGGCCAATGGCTATCTTCCCGATTATTTCGTGTTTAAGTACTTCTTCAGATTCTGCGTCACCGGAGATAAGTGCACCTTTTCAGTCCGGCAAGGAGGACATGCTCTAGTTCCCGACGGACGAACCCCCAAGAACTGGCAGGATAAGTGGCTATGGGTGAATCAAGAAATGGTTGGGAGTGGTCGGTATCGTGCAAATACCTTTGCTAATACTATCCCCAAGCTTTTCCCCCACAATCAGGGCGTTGCTGATTACCTAAAGATTGTCCAAGTATCTCCCGAGGACTATTCTGAGGCCCTCCTCTCTGGTGTAGGGATGAGTCCCTCTTGGAGGCGTCGTGGCAAAATGGCGGCGTTCTTTTGCAACGTTGACGGTAAGTGCTTTGCTTG